CAGACGTGGGAATTAGCTGAATTACCACCAGGCAAGAAAGTGCTCCACAACAAGTGGATTTACAGGATCAAAGAAGAGCATGATGGGAGCAAACGCTACAAAGCAAGATTAGTTGTCAAAGGTTTTCAACAAAAGGAAGGTATTGACTACAATGAAATTTTCTCTCCAGTTGTAAAACTGTCTACAATCAGACTGGTGTTGAAAATTGTAGCTGCAGAAAATTTAAATCTTGAGCAGTTAGATGTAAGGACAGCTTTCCTTCATGGTGATTTAGAGGAAGAAATCTATATGAGGCAGCCAGAAGGCTTCATAGAGGCAGGAAACAAAAACCTGGTATGCAAATTGAAGAAGAGTTTGTATGGTTTAAAACAAGCTCCTAGACAGTGGTACAAGAAGTTCGATAGCTCCATGGGTAGCAATGGTTTTACCAGATGCCAAGTAGATCATTGTTGTTACATCAAGAGGTTCGACAATAGCTTCATTATTTTATTGTTTTACGTTGATGACATGCTCGTTGCAGGCTCAGACATGCAAGAGATTATAAACTTGAAGCAAAAATTGTCGAAGCAGTTTGATATGAAGGATCTGGGTGCTGCAAAGCAGATTCTTGGGATGAGGATCAAGAGAGACACAAATTCAGGGAATTTGATATTATCACAGGCTGAGTACATCAACAAAGTACTCTCCAGGTTCAACATGCAAGATGCTAAACCAGTAAGTACACCTTTAGGTGTTCATTTCAGACTCTCCAAAGAACAGTCACCAAAGACGGAGGAAGAACGTGCACACATGGTGAAGGTATCGTATGCCTCAGCAATTGGAAGTTTGATGTATGCCATGGTTTGTACCAGCCAGATATTGCTCAAGCAGTGGGAGCTGTTAGAAGGTACATGAATAATCCAGGCAAGGTACACTGGGAAGCAGTCAAATTGATCCTCAAATATATGCGGGGTACCACAAACAAAGCACTTTGTTTCAAACGTGGAGATACGATACTGACAAGCTATGTAGATGCTGACTTAGCCGGAAATGTTGACATTAGAAGGAGCACTACAGGGTATGTCTATACTCTAGGAGGAACCGCAGTGAGTTGTGTTTCTCAACTACATAAGATAGTTACTCTTTCCACAACTGAAGCAGAATATGTCGCTGTTACGGAAGCCAGTAAGGAGATGGTTTGGCTCCAAAGTTTTTTGGAAGAGTTAGGCAAGAAACAAGAAAACAACGTCTTGTATTGCGATAGTCAAAGTGCTATCCATCTAGCGAAGAATCCGTCTTTTCATTCCAGGACGAAGTATATACAATTGCGATATCATTTTATCCGGTCTCTTTTGGAAGATGGGATTTTGAAACTTGAAAAGATTAGTGGAGCTCAAAATCCGGCAGACATGTTGACAAAGACGGTGACCACGGACAAACTGAAGTTGTGTTCAACTTCAGTTGGCATGCTAGAGTAACAATACTAGAAATGTTGCTGCATTGATCGAGGTATGAAGACAGATTAAAATCAGTCTTCAAGTGGGAGATTGTAAAGTCAAGAGGTAGGCCAAGAGAGGCCACCGAAAATGGAAAAATGAGGGAGGCACAGTGCACAGGCTGATAATTTTCAACAAAAGGGGGCATCGAATTCGGTGCCCTAATTTTTTTAATTAAATTGTAATAGGGTTAATTATATATTTAGCCATTGTACACTTTAGGGTTTTTACAAGATTAATCCTTAAGCTTTAACTATAAATACCCTAGCTCATTTAGCTTCAAAATCATCCCAAAATCTTCCAGTTCTCTCTCAAGTGTGTTTTGTAAACACCTGTAATTTTTTCTCTTTAGTAAAAGATCTGCAGCAGTCCGGAGACGTAAACACAATTGGCTGAACTCCGTTATCAATTTTTCGGGTATTATTTTTCCGCTTTTATTTCGTATTCTCACTATTATGGCTATAGGGAAATTACTTGTTACTCGTTTATTTCCCAACAACAGGGCTGTGGCTAGGTTATCGGGGGCATGTGCAAATTCTTATAAAGGGGCCCATATTTTCTAGATATATTCGATTTCGGACCTTCTATTTTTATGCTTCTTAATGACAACAACTAATGCATATACTCGATTTCGAGGCCTCTATTTTTATGCTTCTTAATGACAACAACTGATAGATATACTCGATTTTGGGCTCCTATTTTTATGCTTATTAATGACAACAACTGATAAATATACTCGATTTCGGGGGTTCTATTTTTTGGAGCCCTGCGCGGTTGCCCACCCTTAACCACGCCCCTGGTCCGAGAAACTAACGTTATAGCGGATAAGCTCGCAAAGATGTCTAAAGGGAAACCGATTGGTGTGCATCTGCTCCATGAACCTCCTGCGGAGGTGACTGTGTTGATGGATCAGAATGAATCCTAATCCGAATGCTCTTTCTGTATTAGCGGGAAAAAATAATAATTTGTGTTATAAAATTAAAAATGAAAATTATTATTTTAAAATAAAAAATAAAAACAGAAAATAATTTTTAAAACCAAAGGGACCCTAAATATCTCACTATTATTTAAATAACATAAAATAATTTTATTGTTGGGCCTAAGCCGAAGGAAGCTGCTGCTCAATGAAAGTCAGATACTTAGATTGCCGGTTTGGGCAAATGGGTATAGTGGCGGGCTGTTACACAATCAGGGTTCGTTCCTTATGAAAGGATTATTTTGCTCCTCTATCGCTCAGCTTCCTTCTCTTGCAGCCGAAAACCCTAGCTAATCTCTGCGCAGCTCGCCAATGGGTACTCTCTCAAACTCACTCTCTTTCGTTATTGATTTTAGCTACAGATCGTTTCTTTCCTTTGTTATCGATCAATTTTCTTCTGTGTTTCATATGGTTTTTCGAAATAAGTACACATGTATTGCCTTTGATTATGCTGGGGTTATACGAGTGTAGGGGCTTACAAGTACGTGTCGGAGCTATGGAGGAAGAAGCAATCGGATGTTATGAGGTTTTTACAGAGGGTGAGGTGCTGGGAGTACCGTCAACATCCAGCCATTGTTAGGGTCAACCACCCTACTCGTCCTGACAAGGCTCGACGCTTGGGTTACAAGGCCAAGCAGGTAATTCACGTTTCGGTTTCACTCTAAACCACGGAGATTCGCGGTTTGATTTGATGAGTGCTTGTTCTCCAGAACTTAATCAATGGATGTACTTTAGATCCCATTATATTTAAGTCGAGCAATTAATTGTTTTCAAGTGACATATGCTAAGTATATTCTAGGGTAAATTATGCATTTTGATCAAAATTTAACGGTAAGTTTTGAAAAAAATTGAAACTTTAGGAATTAAAACTGATCAAAACTAATAGTTTAAGTATCAAATGTTATAAGTTTTTAATGGTGGTTATTAAAATGAAATAAAAAGTAAATGTTAGGTATGATTTTGAAAAAAATTGAAAGTTTAAGTGCTAAAATTAATCAAAACTGATAGTTTAGGTACTAAATGCACACTGTCCATGAATTTGGAAGACGTTTAGAGTAACATATTCATATGCTCGTGTTGTTTTGCACTTGAGTGCTTGAAGCAAACTGGAGATTCCCTGTGTTAATTATGAAATGAAATGGTATGAATCGTGTGCTTTGTTTTCGATTTTCAAAGGGTTGCATCTCACAGATTTATGTGTACTTTTGAAGGGCTATGTGGTTTATCGTGTTCGTGTTAGAAGGGGTGGTCGAAAGAGGCCTGTTCCAAAGGGTATTGTCTATGGTAAGCCCACAAATCAGGGTGTTACTCAATTGAAGTTCCAGCGCAGCAAGCGCTCTGTCGCTGAAGAGCGTGCTGGTCGAAAGTTGGGCGGCCTCAGAGTCGTTAACTCGTACTGGATCAATGAGGTTTGTAGTAGTTGCTAAATGTTTTGGTTCTTTCATTTGAATTTGCATTTTTCTATGGCCTTTCCCTCATCATTTCCTGCATATTTGATCTTGTAGGACTCTACTTACAAGTACTTTGAGGTTATCCTGGTTGATGTTGCACACAATGCCATCCGCAACGACCCGAGGATTAACTGGATCTGTAACCCTGTTCACAAGCACAGGGAGCTTCGAGGGCTCACGTCCGCCGGAAAGAAAAACAGGGGTCTCCACGGCAAGGGCCACCTGCACCACAAGAACCGGCCTTCACGAAGGGCAACCTGGAAGAGGAACAACACCCTCTCCCTTCGTCGTTATCGCTGAGTTTAGTCGGTTGCTTTTACAATATCAATGGCTATGTATTGTTGGATTCTAGACTTCATCTTCTTGAGTTTGAAATTCTTGCATGTTTTCTATTTGAGTTTTAAATTTTTGCAGGGTTATCATGTGTTAATCGGATAATTTTAAGGTATAATGATAAATTTAGTCCTTAAGGATTTATTTTCATTAAAGTATAATTTAAACATTTAAAATAAAGAAATTGAAGGGTTGATTTTTTATTTCAACTTAAACATTTAAATTTTTTTATCCACAAATTAAAACATATTAAGAGTTTAACATACTTAATCCCATATCATTGTGATTTATATATCGATGATAATAATATTAATTGATTTAAATATAATTATCATATCATATTATTATATAATGCATATCACTATATATATGATAATTTTTATTATGATTTTATTCAGGATAGACATAATTAATATATATTGATAGACTGAGGATAAAATTAAAACATAAAAAGTTTGAAGATAAATTTAAAATAAAGATTATAATTTAGAGATAAAATTAAAATGTTTAAAAGTTTAGAGATTAATTTAGAAGGAGAGTTATAGTTTAAGGACAAAATTGAAATATCCAAAATTTTGAGCACTAATTTAGAATGATGATAATAATTTAGGGATGCATGTTGCAATTAACTCTAATATTGACCCATGTTGCTTTAACAACGGTGTGTAATGAGCCACGTGACCTATTTAGAAGCATTTTTGACCATTCGATGATAGCCACTTTTAGATGTTTAATTTTTAATTTTTTTGGTTCAAAATTTAAGATTTTCCATCCTCGTTTTTTATTTCCTCACCTTTTCTTTCTCTAACTGACTTATTTTTTTTGTTTATACTTCGGTTTCGCCGGAACCCTAGCTCTACTAACCGGATAATTCAAGATTCTGGTGAGTCGTGGATACTGATTAATTCTTCAATTAATCCTCCCCTCAGTTTGCTTTGGTTTTATTCAAGCACATTTCCTTTCGCTTTATCTTCTATTTTTTTTTGGATTCTTCCTCTTTATTCTTAGTTTGATTCCGGCTTGTTGTTATGTCGTGGCTAAAGTGGTTTTGTTATGAATTGCAATTTTTTGGTGCAGTAAATGACCGACGATTAGGGAGGAGGTGATACCAAACAGCCTGGGTTTCATCACCGGATGGAGGGAGGTAGCGTCTCTAGACTTACTTGCTCTGGTAACTGTTCATATTCCTACCTGGTAAATTTTAAAACAAATTATTTTTTGGAATTTTCATTTGCATGTTTAAATAGAGCGTGAGAAAATTTGTCTGTCATTTTGAAGTGGGGAGTTCAGTGTTAAAGTTTAGAATAAGTTTTTGTTGATTTCTGCTTAAATAGATTGAAAACAACTTATTTTCTGCACTCTTCCAGTTTGTCTTAACCTCAGTCGATTGTGCTATAGCCGCTTCTTTTCCTTGATATAATTCTACATTTATTGTATTCAGGGTAGATGTTTTGTGTTTTTGTGCATGTTTACATTCAAATAAAATTTTGCGACATTATCCATTTTTTGAATTGACTTGCATCAAACTTCATAAGTGATAAGTGTAGTTATTGGGTTAATTGTCATCTTTTTAATGACATTGGGCTTTGCAATTGCATTGTGAACAGTTAGCATTTTTTTAATGTTTCGCATTAGTTAATCCATTTGAGTTTATGTTCTTTGAACTGTAAATTACTATTCAACTCTATAAGAAGTAGTAAACTAGTTAATGTGGTTGGAGAAAGCTTCTTAACTTTACACCTTCCCTGAACAATTCCCATTGTACTAGGATAGTCTTAAAAGTATTGGGTCTGATCTCTTCTCTGTGTATTACTCGAATTGCAATTCAATAACCCATCTTCTTCTTCTTCTATGTTCTAGGGATACACTCATGGATTATGATGACAATGATCTCCACAACACAAATCTTCATTTAGCTGGCGAAGGGAACAATAAATTTCCTCCTGTTTTATGCCCATATGCTCTCCCAAGATTTGATTTTGATGATAACCTTCATGGCGATTTAAGATTTGATAGTCTGGCTGAAACTGACGTTTTTCTTGGCATTGAAAGTAGCGACGATAACCAGTGGATTGAAGATTTTTCACGGGGGAGTACTGGGATTGCATTTAGTTCGAGTGCAGCTGAACCTTGTTCAATTTCTAGGTGCAACAATGTCTGGTCTGAGGCAGCCTCTTCTGAATCTGTTGAAATGCTATTAAAATCTGTCGGACAGGACGAAAGTATTCTCAGTCAAACTATCAGTAAGGATTCAGATGCATGTGATGAACTGGGCGGTGGCGTAATAAAGCTGATGGAGCCTAATTTGAAACCTGGAGATAGTGATCTTACTGAAGTAGGGGATGCCTTACAGCCTGCTTCACAGACAGGTGAGATTCCTGGAAAATTTTATGGGTTGAAAGGTGATGTATCAAGAGATCAGTTGGTTGACAGTGTTTCTCAGATGCAAGAATCTAAAGCTCCAAATACGAGTAATGCCGACTTATCTGTGAGAGATGAGTCTAAAGATGGTGAACAAATTGTTGTTAGTGAAAATCAAGTGGAAGCTTCAGTTGATCAATGCTTGGATAACAGGGAACAGGTAAATAACTTTACTTCTGTGCAAGACACCTGTGAAAGTAGTAAGGATTCAGATGCCTGTGATGAACTGGGCAATGTAATAAAGCAGATGGAGCCTAATTTGAAGCATGGAGATAGTGGTCCTTCTGAAGTAGGGGATTGCTTACAGCTCTCCTTACGGACAGATGAGATTCCCGGAAAATTTTCTGGGCTGAAAGGTGATGATGTATCAGGAGACAATTTGTTGGTTCAAGATGTTTCTTCACCACATGAATTCGACTCCTCTGTTGATGGGACATTGAAAGTTCCAAATACGAGAAGTATCGACTTACCCGAGAGAGATGATAAAGATGAAAATCAAGTGGAAACTTCAGTTGATCAATTTGTGGATAACAGGGAACAGTTAAATAAATTTTCTTTAGGGTCACAAGTTGATACTTCGATTTTCTCTGTGCAAAACACTTGTGCAAGTAGTGTTTTTTTAGAGAGCCAAGATACCACACATTTGAAAAATGATACTATTGATGAAAATGTTGACAGTTTAGCAGGGGAAAATGTTGATTTGAGCCAAGAAATTCACATTGATGGTGAGAACTTGATTGAAAATGCAGTTGCAAGTGTTACCTCAGATGTGCAGAAGCATTCAGTTTCAAACATGCAACCTAGGGAAGATGGATGTGTTACTGGAAATATTACACCTACTATGGGGGAGCCTTCTAATAGGACATTGAAAGAGAATTCTAACCATACGGTGGAAGAGTGCAGTGAGGGCTTGGCTGTAGAAAGTCCTCTGCCGACTGGCATATCCAATGTTAATGTCTTATCTGTTGGAAAGTTACATGACATATCACCGATGCCCTTTTTGGGTGATACTACCATTAAGGAGCAGGAAAGTGAAATCGGCAATATTGATACTCAAATTTCTGTGATTTGGGAGTCAAAGTTGGATAACTTGGATTCAATGGTGCAGATAGCATGTGATGCCCCTGAGAAGAATGATTTGTCAGAAAGTGATTGCCACTCTAATACGAAAATCATGAGCAGCAAGTCTGAGAAATATTTGTCGTCTGTGGAAGATGGTAAAGGTTACAAGGGTGAAGGCGATGGTGCTCACAATACTTTGGGAGCAGAACCTGTAAGAGTAGATGAGGATTTTATAGTCACTGAACATACTGATGATTCTAAATTTGAGCAGAGTGTTTCAGCTGCTGAAAAGCAGAACACCAAATTGCCTTCTCATTGTATTAAAACTGACCGCGAAGAGTGTGGATCTCTGGTTGTAATAAAGAGAGTTGATTCCTCTTCCTTTGGCACAAGTGACACAGCAAATGAGTTAGCTTCAAATTTACTATCTGATGTTGCCATCAGTGGCAAGTTGGGTAATTCTTATTTTTAAGCAATAATTTTGATAACTGAGCTTTCTCTTTAATTTGTTTTACCTTCTTTTACCTCTGCATCATTTGCTAATTTGGTTTTATTGTTATACAGTAGATTGTATGCTTGTGCCTTCTGATAAGAATCTTCTTGCTGCTGCAGTTTCAAATCAGAAAGATGTCCAAGTGTCATCTCCAGAAGCAAGTTTCTCGATCATAAAGACTTCTGGAATCTCAATCGAAGGTGCACCTTGTGAGACTGGTTGGCAGTCCTCTTGTAAGAAAGATGATCAGTCTTTGTCAATGGAGGATGCCTCTAATGCTGTTGGCCAAAGTGGAGAACCAACACTTGGTGTCACTTTGGAGTCTAAGGATATGGATGCATCTTCTATTGTCTCTGATTCAACTGTGAGAGAGACTTACGATGCTGAAGTCCAAGTTATTTCTAGGGGTTCTTCAGGACCTTCAGGTGATCTTTTATGATTTATTGGACTTTTTGGTTTACCTAATAATCATCTCAAGTTCTCAACTAAAACTTGAACATAATAGACTATATTGTTGTTGTCCATTTCACATGTATTAAATCTATATGGTGTATACTATAGCTAGAGCAGTTTTAGTGGTGTTTTTACTGTCGTCCATAATTTGCTATTATGTTGCTGTTTTTTTGTGCCCATGCCATTAAGTTTGTTATGAGTCGCTGTTTATTATGAAGCACATGTCCTTGCATTTTTGTTGCTCAAAACTTCAAAAGATAATGTCCACTGCAATAAAATTCCCTCAGGTGCTGTATCCATTCAAGATAAGAACAAGACACTAACAAATTCAGTGCCTTCAACTTCAAAGGAACTGCTTCTTAATGCTGACGAAAAGCATCCTGAAGATAGTGACCCCAAACTTTCTCAAGAGTTCAGTGGTCATATTGTTGCGCATCATGCTGATGGTGACTTTCTCTATCATTTTTTCCCTGAAGTATTTGAAATTAGATATTTTAAGACTGTCATGATGGAATCCTTCATTTATCTTCTCAAATCTTATTCCTTAGATCTCTTCTCCGCCGTGTTGGTAAAAGTTGGTTTGTCTTCTTCTGTTTTTTCCACCCCTCCCACTTTCCCCAGGTTTTATAGGGTTGTATCTCCATTTACTTGGAATTTCTGCTTGTGAAGTTATATCCTGTTTAAGGGTTATTTATGAACTGTCACCTTGTTTCTATGGAAGCACAGTCCATAAATTAATTGCATGCCTAGCCTCTTTCACGGCTATATTTTCTTGTGGGACTATTTCATCAGTGTTCCCTTTTCCCTTCTACATTGATTCATGTTATTCATCAGTTTTCCCTTCCCTCCCACATTAATTCATGTTATTCTTCTGATGGATAAATTTGACGTTGCAGGTGATAATGCGAAGACACATAATAGTTCATTTCCTTCTGCTCCTTCATCTGAACCTCAAACTAAAACCCACATGAAGGAATGTGGTAGTAATGCTTATCTTGACAATCCTTCCTGTGGATCTCCAATTCTGATTAGGACTTCCGAGCAACCAGAAAGTAATACTGGAACAAATACTGTGAAAGGATCCAAAGATCTGAGTGCTTTGGTGTCTGGGGTCGTTAGTGAGGAAGCAAACAAAGAGCACTCTATTTCTCAGGATACTAAAGGAAATGATGCATTTTCAGGCGACAGAAATTTCACCTTTGAGGTTCTTCCAATGGCAAGTTTGTCTGAAAAAGAAGCTGGCAAGAATTGGCAACCATTTTCTAAAGTTCAGCTTGACAAAATATCCTTGGTAAGTGACACTTTCTTGAATTGGTCCTTTTTTTGCTCTAATAGTTTCCCATTTTTTATTTTCTAGATGATATTTTACAAGTATTTTGTGGTACTATATTTTATCATTTTATCGTGTCATGCTCTATCTCTCTTGCACTTGCTCTCTCACTCTTTTGTGTTTATATAACAAGAAGATTGGAGAGAGAACTCCATCAATCTCTGCCTCAACCAAAGTGGGTCCTGAAACAGCTGAAGAGGTGAGTCGTTCAAATGTGCAGACATCTAAGAGGGAGAATGTATCTGGTGGCTCCAAGGGAACTTCTGCACGTAGAACAAGGCGAGCGGGTAGTCAGAGCATAGGAAAGAAAGCTGCTAAAAAGGGCATTGTCGCAAAAGATAGGACTCCTGCAAGACAATCAAAAAGAGGTGGTAAAACAAGTAAGGCATCACTCAGTACAGCTGAAAATGACCGGCTTGTGAAATCCAATGAGATGCAGCACTTTGGACACATGGAAGGTGGTAATATGAACCCATTTGGTGTTCTTTTTGCTTCTGTACCTAGTTTGCTGGACTTAAAAACCTCAGTTATTCATCTGCAGTTTTTCACCAACCTTTTACAGATTCACAACAAGTTCAGTTACGTGCTCAAATTTTTGTATATGGAGCTCTGATGTAAGCAGTGAAACTTTTTTATTGTATATCATTGTTAAATCTAGTTGTCCGTGTTTGTTGCTTTTATTCGTAGGACTTTTAATTATTTGAACTCATCTATCTAATATATTCTTGCTGCAGTCAAGGAACGGCACCGGATGAGGCTTATATGATATCAGCATTTGGGGGACCTGGTTAGGTTTTCTTATATCTAGCTATGTTACCTTGGGATTTCTTCTTAAAAAAATTAGTTACTATTTTGTATCTTATGCAGATGGAAGAACCATATGGGAGAAAGCCTGGGGAGCATGTATGGACAGAGTACATAGTCAAAAATCTCATCCTGTTAGCCCTGAAACTCCATTGCAGGCACATATAGGTATCTATCTTGACCTTAAGTTGTTGAAATAATTTCTGATTCTGTTGTCTATTAACTGCATACCTTGTTGAGATGCTCAGGTGCTAAAACTCCTGATCAATCAATCAAAGAAACTGCACTTCAGACTAAGATTACATCCTCACCTGCTAGTCAGTCTAGCAGCAGGGGTGCAACAACAAGTGGAAAGCCAAGGATCCCCCTTTCCACACCACTGTGGGCGATTCCTACACCTTCCGGTGATGCCCTTCAACCTGCTAGCATTCCAAGAGGTGCAGTTGTGGATTATCGGCAAGGACTTTCTCCATTGCATTCACCTGTAAGGAATTTTGTTGGACATAATGCTCCTTGGGTGTCCCAATTCCCTTTTTGTGCCCCCTGGGTTCCACATAGTTCTGCATTTGATAGCAATGCCTGTTTTCCTGAACTTCCCATCACAGAAGCAGTTAATTTAACTCCCGTAAGAGACACATCTGTGCCTAATTCTTCTGTCATGAAGCAGGTTTCCACAGTTCCTACGGTCCAGAGCGGGGGTCCTGCTAATGTCTTTGCAGGGATTCCCCTGCTTGACAACAAAAAAGCAACATCCAGATCTAGTCAGAGTTCTGCTGATCCAAAGCCTAGAAAAAGAAAAAAGTCAGTTTCTGAGGACCCTGGGCAGATTATACTGCATTCTCAAGCCGAGTCTGTTTTGGCTACTGTTGTTAATAGTCATGCCTCTACACCTGCTGATATTACAACACCTTACAATTTTATTACTTCTGTCTCTGGTGATCATATCAAAAAAGATGACCGAAATTCAGATCAGAAGGCTACTCTGTCTAAAGAGACCCTTGGTAAACTCAAGGAGGCTCAGAAGCAGGCAGAAGATGCTGGTGCCCTTTCTTCAACTGTTGTTAGTCGCACTCAGGAAATATGGAATCAGTTGGAGAAGCGAAAGAATTCTGTGTTGACACCAGATGTTGAAACTAAGCTGACTTCTGCAGCTGTCACAATAGCTGCAGCAGCTGCTGTTGCAAAGGCTGCAGCCGCGGCTGCCAGTGTTGCCTCGAATGCTGCCTTACAAGCAAAATTGATGGCTGATGAAGCATGGGTTTCAAGTGGCTACAGAAATCCTACTCCAACTAATACAATATCTTTTGATAGTGTGAATCTTGGCAAGGCAACTCCTGCATCCATCTTGAGGGGTGAAGATGTTGATGCTAGTTCAAATTCTGTTATTGCTGCTGCAAAGGAAGCCTCTAGAAGGAGGGTAGAAGCTGCTTCAGCTGCGTCAAAGCAAGCCGAAAACATGGATGCCATTGTTAAGGCTGCTGAGCTGGCAGCTGAAGCAGTATCACAGGCTGGGAAAATTGTTATGGGTGGGCCTTTCCGGTTGGCTGAATTGGTAGAAGCTGGTCCGGTGGCATACTGGAAAGTACCCCATGCATCTTCTGAGCCAGATGGTGCTGTCAGAGAACACTCAGACAAAGGTGGTAATGTGGAGGCTCCTGGTTCAGTTTCCGAGCATCCACAAGAGGTTCCCACCGATAAGAGCGAAAAGCATAGTAACCTTGAAGTGTCGCCAATTCTTAGAGATATGGACAAGCGGCTTATTCAGGATGATTCCAGGTTGACAGATGGCATTCTGGGTGCTGCTGCAATTAGTGGAAATGATAAAAAGGACCGCAAAGTTTCAGATATTGCCAAAAGTAAAGGAGTGTCCACTAAGACTGAACATGGGAAAGAAGAGGAAACTTTGAAAGATGGCAATATGAGGGAAGGTTCCCATGTTGAGGTTTGTAGACTGTACTTGATATACGAGATTAGCTTTTTAATCTTTGGTAAAATATATTTTACTAGGTTCAAATGATGCAATTATATTTGATGGAAATATACCACATACTGGTGCATTTGAATTTTTCTGCATTCGTCTTAGTTACTGCAGGAAAGTGTTGCAGTTGAACATGTCTTATTGATCTTATATTCATATCTGATATTTTACAATTTACCGTTTCCCGATTTCTAGGTATTGAGAGATGGAGGTGGCTCGAAAGTAGCATGGTTCCCTGCTGATATTCTGGATTTGAAAGATGGCAAAGCTTATGTGTGTTACAATGAACTTCGATCAGAGGGTGAGCTATCATACATAGCTTGTTTTGGTATAATCAACTGAATGATGATAAATAAAGCAGACTTGTTGGTACTTGTCCTTGATTTTTAATAAATCCCGTGTTGATGTCTAGCCAATTTTATTCTCTTTGAAGAATATTGCATGATTATTTCCGTTCTGAATCAGGAATTTTACTTGTATGATATGTGCGTCTATTGTGGGGAGATAAACATTATGATTAAATACATCAGAATAAGGATGCCTTCATTTTCTAATGTATTCGTCTACACTCCCAGTGTGTTGCAGTGGTTTCTCATGTGAAAACATCTCCTGTAGAGATATTTGGAGGCTTTGTCTCATGCACATATAAATTAATGAGGATGCTTTCTTAACTAACTTGTTTTGATTGCTGATCTTACAGATGGTGATAGGCTGAAGGAATGGGTGGAGCTTGAAGGTGAAAGGGATAAGGAACCCAGAATACGCAGTGGTCGTCCTATTGCAGTCATGCCATTTGAAAGAACTAGGAAGAGACGCAGGGCTGCCATGGGGGACTATAATTGGTCCATTGGAGATAGGGTTGATGCATGGATGCAAGATAGGTATGCATGCATTATTTTCTATTTATTCTTGTAGTGCATCAAGTCAGAAAGGAATGTTAGTATGTTGCTATTGAAGATAATATAGGCATTAAAAAAATCAATGTGAATTATGAGGATGCAGTGCAAGGATAATTTGTCATGATTTGCTAGCCAAACTAGCAACGTGAGTGATTTGCCAATTGCCATAATTTCTTATGCATATTCAAAACTCTTATTAGCTGTGTAATGGTGAAAACTGCTAAGATTGTTTAGTAAAGAGGTAGATAAACTATACAAAGTAATTTGTCACTTGGATACTGATATATAAACCGTGTTGAAATATTTGATTTTCAGCTGGTGGGAGGGAGTTATCAGCGAGAGGAGCAAGAACGATGAAACATCATATACTGTCCGTTTTCCCGGTATGTGCGACATTTTGTTAACTATGTTGTTTATAATCTGCTCTGTATTAAAGTCTATGCAGCCTTTGAGAATTATTAACAGTTCTATTTATTACTTTTATTGTAGCTCAAGGAGAAACATCTATTGTCAAAGCATGGCTTCTACGCCCTTCTCTGATATGGAAGAATGGTAATTGGGTTGAATGGTACAGTTTGGGGGATAATAATGGCTCTTCTCTTGAGGTGATATGTCGACTTATGTTTCTGATTGATGTTTCTCTGATAATACCTTAATGGCTTGTGTGTACTAAGTAGTTGATCTGTTTTCAGGGTGATACCCCACTGCAAAAGAGATCAAGGATAAACAGTCCTGTGATAGATACTGAAGAGGAAGGCACAAAAGGTTTTGACCATGAGGAAACCAAGAAACCTGATGGCACGAGATTGCTCGATTTTCCTGTGGGTGAAAATTTATTTAGTATTGGTAAATGCAACAGGGATGAGAGTAAGCCTGGTTCCCAACGAATGAAGCGTTCAGGTTTAAAGAAGGAAGGTTCAAGGGTTATTTTTGGTGTTCCTAAGCCTGGAAAGAAGAGAAAGTTTATGGAAGTAAGCAAACATTATGTTACGGATCGGAGCAGTAGAACTCATGAAACAAGTGATTCTGCTAAATTTGCAAAAAGTTTAATTCCTTGTGGATCTGAACATAGTGGAACAAAACATAAAATTGAACCAAAGGAAAAAGGAATGGCTGTATCCAAATCGAAGGTTCTCAAGTCCGGAAAACCACCTAGTGTTTCTAGTAGAACTATTCCTCAGAAGGACAGCCTATCAAGCAATGTGGATTCTGAACCTGATGACGCTGAGAGTATATCAGGAGAGCATACCATGGAGTTCAGATCAGTTTCAAGTTCTGATGGAGCAGCGGAGGGCCCGGTATTATTTTCTTCTGTAGCTGCCTCATCAGATGCACCCCGGGAGAAAGCTTCCATATCAAATGCTAAATCTGAACGTATTAGTAAAGGGAAACTTGCACCAGCTTCTGGAAAGTTGGCTAAAGTTGAGGAGGAAACGAAAACCGTCTCTGATGCTGTTGAACGTCGTAGGTCTAATCGGAAGATTCAGCCAACATCAAGAGTAAGTAAATAGATGTAGTCCTTTGTTCTTTGTTCTTTGTCTCTGTGCCGCTTACAGGTCTTGTTTGTTGTCCACAGCTCTTGGAAGGACTGCAAAGCTCATTGTTAATCTCAAAAGTTCCTGTTCCGCATGACAAAGGTCAGAGGAGTGCTAGAGGTGAAGTTTAAATTTCTTATCGCATGGTATGCTTGAAGCAATGCAATCTTTACCCGTTCTTTTAGTCTTGCTTATCGTCAAATGTGCAATGACCGATGCATGCAACATAACCGTCTCATCTGTATAACAGGAAAGAACTAAGGTTTAGAAGAAGGGAAGCTGTTTTGCAACATGGGAATCCAGTCTTTTGAGATAATATATTGGATGAACAACAGGCGAACATTCAATTGTGTAGCTTGTGTAATTTATGCCATGACAGATAGAGCAAGGAACCAAAATTGCTTCTTTGGCTTTTGAGATGTTGCACTATATCATTATATATATAATGTTTATTTTCAAATTATTTTTGGTTTTGTTTATAAATTATATACAAAAAAATGATTTTTCTTTAATTTTTTCGAGACGTTTGCGGAAACTATCTGATAAGCTGCTTTTTACACCAAGCAACAAAGCAAAGCAACTTCGCGTATACCTCGTTCTTGTTTTGCATTGTTTCAGATTGCTGTTCATAAGGCAAAGCATTATGATGCGGAATCCGTCGGATTCGGGTTCCGTGTCTATCCCTAGTTTGGTCTTTGACTGTCTCTCTTGGGGATTTTCTCGAAGTCGGTGAGTAGTCGAGTTTGTTGGCGACTCGTGTGGTTTTAGACTTTTGGTTATGGTAACTCAGTTTCTCAATTTTGAGCCAACTTGATTTTGTTTACACATAATTTGAAAGATTTGACAAATTACGAAAATTGACATGAGGTCGAAAATCTTGAAGCGACCCAATCCCCTAATGCAATAACGGAAAATTGGCCGACTTTATTCAGTTATGTTATTTGGTTAATCTGGAAAAAAATGAATCAGGTAGTTTTTGACTCTGAAATGGTTAAGAGAGAATCAATCATCCAACAAGCATATAGACTTACACAGGAGGTTGAAAATTCAAAAACCCTAAAACCTGAGATTAATCAAACTAGAAGAAATATCCAATACGGATGGCAAAAACCAGAGATTAGCTACTGTAAAATAAACACTGATGGAACAAGAAACTAGAATAATGGAGATGCAGCGTGTGGAGCAGTAGCTAGAGACTATAAGGGTATCTGGAAGAATCAGTGAACTCGAGAGACTGGTTTGATGAAACCAAAAAAAAGAAAGAAGAGAGAACAGTGTCGAATCATTATACTGAAAGCTATGCTAAAAAGAAAAAAGAAGCATCAACAGATTGCTTAAAATGAGTTAAATTTTTTTTTTGTTTTAATATTCAAAATTAAACACCAATATTATCAGCTGACAAATGATAAAAAATTCGATCAAAGAACTAAGAGATAGCCAAGAAGTAAACCAAATGGATTTGAAATAGATAAATAAATACAACGTACCAGGGAATTTAGCACTACTTTCGCTGCATCCATAGAAGTAATTTGCATATTCAGATTTCCATATATCAATCGGTCCTTTGTTGCTTTCATCCTACAGAATTTGCATCAAAATAACAAAAAAATGTTGAACAAAAAAGAGAGTTTCAAAACATTAAACGCAGAAATGAACTTTTTTTTTTCTTTTCATTTTACCAAATTGAAGAGACTTCGTCTAACGAGTCGCTGGGAGTACCGCTCGAGCTCAGACGCCATTTGGCCGGTGAGGAGCAAAATCACGCCCAAGCAAAAGAGCATCAAGGCACAGATGACCGACATCGAGATCGGCTTCCTCTGCGTTCACGACCTGATGAACACATGCTTGTTGCTTAAGACGCTGCCGTTTTGATGCTGAAACAGCGCCATGTGGGCCTTACCACGCTAACCCCACTCGCCTTAGCTACGCCCATCACGTACTCAACGAAACCGACTCCTGCGCCGCCATTAACTTCACCATTTTAATCACACGAAATACCACGTCCTCCCTCCCGCTATTCCCGACGAGTAAGACCACCAACGACTATATAATTAGGTTTATATTGTAAATAATGCGACAATGGAGGTTAGAATCGAATAATAATCACGGTTCTTCTTCCTTTCCTGCAATCACCACCCTCAAAGCCTCCCTCAAATTGCAGCAGATTTTAGAGGTTCCTGATTTTGTTTACGGTAGAAAGATTAAAAAACACAAATAAAATTGAAGAACAGAGAGGGAGAGATGCATGGGATTATGCCGGTTTATGGGGAAGTTGATGAATAAAGAAGACGACGACGGTTTTTTAACATTAAGTTTGTATTAAGGCAAGGATTAATTTAGTAATAACATTTCGTTGTTTTGTATTTCCCTTTTTAAGTTATGCGTACAAATGAAAAAATCTAGGCATATTTCAAATTCTTAATTTGTCGACTAAATGACCATCAAACGACTTTAGTAGTTTCTTCGTCACTTTTAGGTTTGAACACGATGTTTGCAGAATTATATAATCATCTATTGTCAAATGGTTGAGGACCTTTTGAATAGATACTACCTTATGTTCATTGTTAAAAGTTTGGAGATCAATTTAGAACGAGAGTTATAATTTAGAGAAGAAATTGAAATATTAAAAAATTCAAGGATTAGTTTACAATAAGTCATAAATTAAGGATGAAATTGAAATATTTAAAAGTTCAAGGACTAATTTAGAATTTCATAATTTAAAGATGAAATTGAAATAATTAAAAGTTTGAAAGTTGTTGAATTATATTTTGATATAACATTTAAGGCAAAATATTTTTGGACTTGAATTGAATTTATTCAAAATTTTTAAAAATAATTCAAAGTCCTTAAAAGTGGATTTGAACACAAAATGATTTTCAAGTACAAGAAGAATTGATACTATTTTTACAGTATCGATATCTCATGGACAATACTGATACTGTTCATATGGTACTGATATCAAAGGTAAGGAAAATATCGATACTCGCTAGGTAGTATCGATACTACCAGCAATGCTCAAATTCCATAATGTAAAAATTTTACTGATACTCAAAGGGGTACCGATACTACTTTGTATAGTAGTATCGATACCATAGGCATAATATCGATACCATCAGACCCCAACAACTAGTAACGGCTAGTTGATTTAAAAATAACAAAGGTAGTAACGATACTCCCTTTAGGAGTACCAATACCCTCTGTACTGGACAGTTTTATTTTGTAGAAATTTAATCCCAAACGGCTAGAAATCATCCCTAACGACTAGAAACGACCACATCTTCATTCCAATATATAAATACAAGATCAAGACACTTGAAGAAGGGTTAGAACACTTATCCAAGCAATCAAACACAAGAGAAGAGTTTTTCCAATCTTATTTTATATTTATTGTAAATATTTGTGTTTTTAGTGAGCTAAATTTGTAAACACCATACCTTTGAAAGGTTTTATTGTTTAATTCTTTTTACCTTTTGTAAAAGGAGATTAGTTCTGTCTTAGCCAAGTGAAAAGATAGGGAGTGTAAAAGTTATCTCTTGATCCCTTAAAAGGAAAGAACAAATTAATGAATTTGTTAGAAAATCCTAAGTGAGGAGCTTAGGTAGTGGAGATAGACTTAGTTGAGAAGTCGAACCACTATAAATTCTTATGCCAAAATTTTCTATCTTTTTCTATCTTTTACTCTCCTTACTCCATAAACAAATTTTTATCAATTCCCCTATTTGCTTATTTTTTCGGTGGTTCGAATTGAGTTTCTTCGATCATAATAAGAGTTAATATACAATGAGAGTATAGTTTGAGGATTATGTTGCAATTAACCCATTCAACTTTAAATAATAAAGCACATTAGCAAAGATTATTATTATTATTATTATTATTATTATTATTATTAAAGTTAATTACATCATATGTCCTCAAAGTATGACCCTTATTTTAAATTGGCCCTAAACTTTTAAATGTTCCAATTTAATCCCTAAACTATGACCCTAATTATAAATTAATCCTCAAACATTTGAATAGTTCAATTTCATCACTAAACTATGAATTTCATTCTAAATTGGTCCCGGACTTTTTAAATATTTTAATTTCATCCCAAACTATGCGTATATACTAATCACATCCCTTGTAAATAAATTTATTAGGCCAAATTATATTATTATATTTTTTAAAACAAAGTAGGTTAAACTATGGTTGAAACTAGTTACATATTTGGATGAATTTGGGGATGAAATTGGACTATTAAAAAGTTTAGGGACTAATATAAAAAATATTCGTAGCTTAGAGATGAAATTAGAATGTTCAACAAGTTTAAGGAATAATTTAGAATGAGAGTCATAATTTAGGGATTAAATTAGAATATTTAAAAGTTTAAGGACGAATTTAAAATGGGTCATAGTTTGAGGACATATGATACATTAACTATTATTATTATTATTATTACGAGGGACGGAGCTATGATTAAATATTGACAATGTTACAATATTAGTTTTTTTAAGAAAAATACAATGATTTATTAGGTACTTGAACTCAAAATTTTATTATTCTTTTTTTAATTCAATCCCTACTTAATTAAATATTTAATAAATTCTTGATTTTTTTTAAATTTGAATACTTATCTTTATATGATCCAAAATAATATTAAACCAAATTATATCGAATATATAATTTTTTTACAGCCCTAGCATATTATTATTATTATTATTTAAGAAAAGTATATCCCGGCTTGGTGAAGTGGTTTCCCGTGAGAAAAGCAACATTGATTAAAGGGTTTGTATTTTCACCTACTTTCGTTGCTTATTTTCAATGAATTGAAAATTATAATTTACCTAATTTTTTATGTTTAGGAATTGCAACAAGTTTTAAAGTTTATATTAAGTGTAATAAATTCATTTATTTGGTTTATTTAAAAAATATATATAATATTTCATGACAAATCCCCCACGAAAAGTTTATGACATCAAAATGCACATATAAATAAAATTTATCCTAAATTCATCTCACACCACTATACATTTATGATTTAAGCATATTATTATTTTTAGTTTTATAATTTTATTTTCAAAGTTGTAATATTTAATACACCCGTTAAAGTCAATTACAAGTCTCTATATAATTAGAGTTTTAAAAGTTATAATTGTCACTTTCTTGTTGATTATTGGAGTGTTATAATATGGTGAGCTATGTACACCCATTTCATTTGGGACGATTCAGTAAATTTATTAATTATCAATTTTTGTTGTTCATCGACGTATTATACGTATTAAATACGTCATCAATCTAATATTAGACAACCTTACGCTTAAATAGATATGTAAACGAACCGAACGAAGATATATTCATTTTCTGAACAAACAAACAAATTTCTTGTTCGTGTTCGTACATTAAAGAATGTAGTTTGTTCTTGTTTGTTCATGTTCGTTCGTTAAAATGATAAACGAGTACAAACGAATGAACGTAAACGACTAAACATAAAATTAATCGGGTTTATATTTGAGGATATATTTTTATTCATGATTTTAGGGTTTATTTTTTCTTTAATTGATTTGAGTATTTTTTTTATTTGAGTTTAAAATTAATTAGATTTTAAAATATTAATGGGTTTAACGCTAAAATTTATTAGGTCTTAATGTTTTAAATGAGTTTGGAGATTGGACTGAATATAAACGAATGAACGTAAACGAACATAAATAAACGAACGAATTACCGAACATTTACGAACGAACACAAAACCTTCGTTCGGGTTCGTTCATTTAATAAACGAACATAAAATTTATATTTATTCGTTTAATAAACAAATGAATTTCACGTCGAACAGTTCAGAAAACTGAGTTCAACCATCCTTCAATCACTGAGGTAACTTGATTCATGCAAATTAAATCAGATAATAAATTATCGAAATGTACATGACTAAAATGTCATTTCTTATAGTAAAAAGATTAAATTGAACTTTTTATTATGGTTTGTAGTGGACTTGAACCCACATCAATCTTAAGAAATGCTTTCCCTTTCTTGTTCGACGCACGTTTTCTATCTCTCCTAGCTCAGTAGCTCCTATCTGTCTTGAATAAAAATATCGATCGTACTGCTAAATAATTCACTTCCAGAGAGAAAAGCAGCAAACGCCATAATAAAAGATTTTGTTGTTTTCCTCTCGATCTCTCCGCCCAATTCCCCCCTTTTTTTTAAAAAAAAGGAAGCCAAACAGATAAATTTTTCGATTCCTTTTTCCTTCTCAGATCCTTTCGAAAGAGGTTCCTTTTTTTTTATTTATAAATAATTCGATCTAAGCCACTGATTCGAAATGAGCACGGGCGAGCTTCTCAGCATCGAACCATTAGAGCTCAAGTTTGCTTGTAAGTTTGTCTTCCTCCCTTTTTTTCTCTCGTGGATCTGCGATTTCTGTTTTTCTAGGTTTTAATTTTGAGTTTCTTTGGTGAATAGTTGAGCTGAGGAAGCAGATCTGTTGCCAACTTCAATTGTCGAATAAAACTGACAATCATGTAGCTTTCAAGGTGCGCTTCTTCATTTTCTGATTTCCAAATTCGATTTTAGTATTATTTATATATTTTTATAACTTTTTTTATCTAGGATTTATTGTAGTCTTCTTACTTTTTGTATGATGTGTTTGGTTGCTGGGTAACATCATGATTGAAGTGTTTGAACCTGAAAATTTGAAATTACGAAGTTTAAATCTCGAATTTTGGAATCCTAGATTTCCTTTTGAGTTAATTGATTTCGTTTCCAGGTGAAAACGACGAATCCAAAGAAGTATTGTGTTCGTCCCAATACCGGGGTCGTTTTGCCTCGATCCACATGTGATGTTGTTGGTACAATAAATTAATTATATTTTTGCTTGAAAGTTTGCGGCTTTCTGTTTTTATCATTGTTGGGTTATGGATTGCTTCTAAAAGAACTGTTGGTTTTAATTTAGTTACCATGCAAGCGCAAAAAGAGGCTCCTCCTGATATGCAATGCAGGGATAAATTCCTCCTTCAAAGTGTAAAGGCTAATGATGGTGCTACTGCAAAGGATATAACTGCAGAAATGGTATATAATAATTTATATTACACAGTATTACTTGCTTCTTTGGTTTCACAATTCATGATTTATGGGAATTTTCATTTCTGAAGTTCAACAAGGAAGCTGGGCATGTGGTTGAGGAGTGTAAGTTGAGAGTGGTTTATGTTTCTCGGCCTCAACCACCTTCACCTGTACGCGAAGGGTCAGAAGAAGGGTCTCCACCAAGAGGTTCTGACAATGGGCATGCAAATGCTGCTGAGTTTGCTGCCGTAAGACTTGCTGCATATTCTTTTTGTTACTATTTCTATTTTTCTGTGTACTTTATTTTCGGATTCTAATAATGTGCATTTCGTTCTAAATGCAGGCTGCAAGAGCATTTTCTGAGGGACTTGAAGCTCAAGATAAATCTTACGAGGTAAAATTGGCTTCTGTATTTCCTGTCACTTTGTGCTGCTGCATATGTGTAATTGACTTTAATTTGTCTTGATAAGATCATGTTTGGTAGCCTGGATGGTAAGGTCCAATTTTTCAGATCAGATATTTGTATTTACTTGCTCGGTTGCTCTTTCATTAATTGATTCTTTTTGCTTTGGCCTAAATGTTTAAGTTTTTAGATATGTTATTGAACCTGTGAGTCTAAAGCTGTGATTCTGTAGTCCGTAAGACTCCACATTTTTAAAGATAGATAGGTAGAATTCAACAATTCGTGATTTGTGGGTGTACTGGAGCCAAATGAAGTAGTAACACCATTTTGGTTGAATCCGGGTTTTGTCTAGGATGGCTTTCTTATTTTAGAATGGAGGTTGGTTGGTGTTGGTATTTAGACCAATTAAATGTCGGAAAGATTGCAAGTGATGGTAATAATATGTATTATGTAGGAGTTACTGAAGCCCCATCGGCTATCACCCTACTTATAACTAATGGATTTGTATCTGAACTGCTGGGAAGCTAGTATTTTTAGATGGTCAAAAGTAATTATTGATTAAGAGGAAATAGAAATATGTTGGTATTGAATGATGTGCTGATCCAAACCTTTGCTGAGATGGTTGTCATTGAGTGCTGAATCAACCGTCTAAAATACACTTTTTTGTCATATTGATCATCCCTTTTTCATTTTTTTGGGGGGTGGGGGTTGTCACTCGTCTTTGTATGTTGGAAATTTGAATTTTGTTAAGTGAATATACAACATTTTGTTACTTCTATGGCAATAGGTTTGTTTTATTGCTTATGGTCTCCCCACATTCTCATGTTAACAAGCCACAATATATATATATATATATATAGAGAGAGAGAGAGAGAGAGACAAAGGATCCACTTATACAATGTAAAACTCATTAGTTTTACACGAAAATATAGCCATTAGATGGATCTAAATGGATGATTGTGATTAAAATAAAATAATCCACTTTTTCCGTGGAAATTGGAAAAAAAAAAGATAATGCACGTTGTTTTAATCTCAGCCATCCATTTAGATTCATCCAATGGCTATATATTCGTGTAAAACTAATGAGTTTTATGGTGTAAATGGATCCTATCTGGCTATCTCACACGCGCGCGCTCACACACACATATATATTGTTACTACTTAATAAATCATGTACTGCTCTATATTGTTACTACTCTTCTTAAAGACTCATAAAAATAAGAGAAACCTGCAAAAGGTTGCCCATCTTCCTTGAATTTGTCATTTCTATTGGCAAAACTTCTATTCCATAAGTTGGACAAAGGAAGATATATTTTGGAAGAGATCTACCGACCGGTTCATCTATATTGTTCAAATTGTGTTCATTAGATTGAGCCTGGAGTCAGTACAGCACTACAGCTCATTCTTTTAATGCTCCCGACAATTTCTTCTCATTTATGTGCACATTGCATGCATAGCCAGCTTCTGCAGCACCGGAGCATGAAAGCTCTGTTATCATTTACATATATTGCATTAATGATGCATCGCAAGTATAATAACAATAACAACTTACACAATTGCAGGCAAAAGCTCTTATATCGAAGCTGACCGCGGAAAAAAACACTGCAATTCAACAAAACAACAAGCTTCGCCAAGAACTGGTGAGGAGCATAGACCTCGACTTTACCTTACGGATTGTATTTCATATGATTCCCCTGCCCTTTTCTTTTTGAATGACCAAGTCCATTCCTCTTTTATTATCACGGAAACGTCTTACATATAATGATATTACGAACTTTAGGAACTCTTGAAGCGTTCAAGCAGCAAAAGCGGCAGTGGGGTGTCGTTCATGGTTGTCGTCCTCATCGGCTTGCTCGGTATAATTATGGGATATATCATGAAGAAGTCGTAAGTGTCTTATCTTCAAGGATCTTATGCATATGTTCCCTCTCCTTCCCTTCATCAGAACAAGTAACGGTGAATGAAAAGGAAAGGGAAACAATTTGGTGTTGGGCTCGTGCATTTTATTAGCTGTTAGCTTTGTGACATTAACTTGTTAAAGGTGGGTATGGAATTTTCATTTTTCGTTCGGCTTAAATATGTATTGGCCCTTGAACTTGTTCAGTTCTCACAATTTGGTACTTATAGTTCTTTTGTCCAAACTTGGTACCCGAAGTTTGTTTCTGTCAATTAAACTGGTACTTTTTTTTTGTATCAAGTTAATTTATGAAATAGTATCAATGCCCAATAGATATCTTACATGTGGATTGGCATAAAATTCCTGATCACTCAATTCTTCTTTGATCACTTAATATTGTTTAACTATTGATTTTTTTTAATTTTATCAATATTATTTAATTATTTAAATGATGTCAATCAAGTTATTTATTGTTAATATTTGATAGCAGAGTTGACATAATAATTAACAAAATTAATATACTTATACATATTAGTCTTAATTATTTATATGTTCTATCAATTTAATTTTAATTTAATTGAATAAAGTTAATCGTCCATTTTGGGGGAAAATTTTATTTAAAAATTTGGTTTTTTTTTTTATAATTCTCGTGAAGAAGTTACGGAAATAAAAAAAAATCAAACACTAAAATAAAAAAGTTCAAGGTACAAATTAAAAATAATAATTGAGAGAAATATCATGAAATTTGATCTGATATGATCTAAGATATTCGACTGGTAGAAAAGAAAGACAAGTGAATGAGGCGAATTAGATTAAATTTTTAAATGAAAACATTTTCTTTAGGTTGTTTTTTCTTTTAAAATATTCAAATTTATAATTTTAAAGACAATATGATTAAAAGAGAATAAATAATGTAATATCTAATATATTTATAAAATTATATATATATTTTTAAAAATTATTGTCTTGACAACCTTTTTAAATCTCCATCGTGTGAATATTTAATTTAAAAAAGAGTAAAGTATACAAATGATCCTTCAATTATATGACACTGTTTTATTAAGTCACTCGACTATTAAAAGTTATAAAATGGTATTCCCACTATAGAGTGTTACTTTGTTGAGTCCATTGACTATCAAAAGTTACAAAATGGTTACTCCACCATTCATTATGTTTCAAACTCGTCATTTTTGTTTAAAGATTGACGATATCTTGAGTTGAACGTTAACCTTTTGATTGTGATATGATAAAATATAATCCCGAAATCTCAAATGGCTATCATATCTCAATTATCGTGCTAATGTCCAACTTAAACAACCATAAATTTTTAACAGAAAAAGATGATTTTGGAACATAATGAATATTCGAGTGATCATATTGTAACTTTTAATAATTAATGAACTTGATAAAATAACATTATATAGTCAGAGGATTATTGTAACTTTTAATAGTAGATGGATTTAATAAAATGTTACCTTATAGATAATTGGGGATTATTTGAGTACTTTACCCAAAAATATTTTTTTTATAATTTTTTTTCTATTAATCAAATATTCCCCCGTACTATATAATACGAAGTAGAAGAGGATAGAATGGATACACAATTGGTTCCGCAGATAAGAAAACAAAATCAAAGTTCTCGTGTTAGTTTGTCCAAAATTTTAAGAATAGTTGGCAAGGTTGACGGCACCACCGACGGAATTCTCTAATTACGAGAAGATTCACTCGCCGGCGGCTCTAAACCTCCTCTCTCCGACCGGTGACGTCATTTTGACAGGTGATAAATCAATCGATCGGCTTTCGAACGGCTTCAAATTTTCATTTACTATGATGATGCTATTTTTTTTTATTTAGCGAGATCCTAATATAGCTTATATTTTTTTGGAGGTGTAATATGGCTGATATTTTGATTCGAAAAAACCAGCTGATGTTACCAATTATGCCATTTTATACTAATTTTAGTGTCCTAAAAATATATAAATTGTTAGGGATTGATATCTGAGCTATTAGAAAAGAAAACAGGGAGTGGTAATTGGGAAATTGAAGAGCAAGAGCCACCGTAGGTTCAGTGCATTTTTAATGTAGTTTTTTTTAATTGTAAGTTTCTTCTCTGAACTTCCTATTTCTCTCTAATTTCTTTCTATTTTGTTTTCGTGATTTCAATTCTAATTTGTACGATGAATGAGAATTGTATGTTGACGAGGATGGAGTTTGTCTCTGAAATTTCGAATTCGGTTCTTATTGTTTGTTTCCGTCCTTTTTTGAGTGTACGATTCTTTGTCCTTCTAACGATAGGAGAATTTTGAGCAAAATGCTCCTATCTTGGATAGATAGCATTTCTTTTCATTTTTGGAACTGGTTTTTTATATATGTCCCATTCATGTTTTTCTTCTGCGATCATACTGTAATGGAAGTCTTGCATAACATAATTTTATTCTTGTAGTTGTAGGAGAGCAAATCTAACGGTTGTACATTTTCACTGATACAAAAGTCTCTTCGTTTGAGTAGCATTTCGAAGAGAGAACGGGTTGCCTGGATACAAGCTTTGCTTATTGTTTTCGGAGATATATCTTCGAGTTCTGATGATATTGAGAAACAAGAGCTTGACGAATTGTCTTGTGACGATGAAACCTTCCTCTATGACAAAAAAAAATATTATCCTGAACTCGTGTTAGTTCTCGATCTTTAAGAGGGGCAGCTGATCAAGCAGATAATCAGAAAGAAACTGATCGATACTGTGGAAAAGATGTGTGCTGTTAAAGAAAATTCTGATTCCAGATATCTCCAAATCGAAAGGCGAAAAAAGCTCCCTGATCCAGTTCTAAAAGAGAAAAGGGTTAGCCTTTGGTCTGTGATCAAAGACAGTGTGGGAAAGGATCTCACACAAGTTTGTCTTCCTGTTTACTTTAATGAACCAATATCATCCCTTCAGAAATGTTTTGAGGACCTAGAATATTCGAAACTTTTGGACCAAGCTTACAAGTATGGAAAAGAAGTAAGCTATTCATGCATTTTATTCTTATATTCCATGTTTCTCTGGGTATATGCACAATAATTTTGCTCTTCAGGTTATACTAAAATATTTATAAAGTTTTCAAACAACTTGCAACATAAGGAATTTTAGGATTTTACAAATTGTTGTTCGCTCTTAACTGTTGTAAGTTTGAAGACACATTGTCACCTAGAAACAATATAATGGAAAATCTGTATTAGCCTTTGTAACAAGTTTTCCTTACTAGCTTTTTGAAGGTGATGTTACATGTACCTCTTTAGATTTTTTGGGCTTGTTGAAATTGTTATTAAGGTTTGATGAACATCAGCAGGTGTTCTTGGTTTATATCGTGCAATCTGATTGTATGGACTGTTTAGGTTTTCTGTGATATTCTCAGGGGAACATTCTCCAGCGAATTGTTAATGTAGCTGCATTTGCTGTTTCTGGCTATTCTTCGACTGAAGGCCGGGATTGTAAGCCTTTCAATCCTTTACTAGGTGAAACTTATGAAGCAGACTATCCCGAAAGAGGCGTTCGTTTTTTCTCCGAGAAGGTCAGTCTTCAAGATCTATAAGTAGAGTTTGCTTCACGCTAAGGAATATGCAGCCTTATGCTGATCTTAAATTGAAAAATTAAGAAACATATCTTACCTTTCAAGTTGAAACAGGTTAGTCACCATCCAACCCTAATTGCCTTTCATTGTGAAGGCAAAGGGTGGAAAATCTGGGGTGAGAGTGACCTCCGTGCAAAGTTTTCAGGGCGGTCAATCCAGCTCAACCCTGTTGGAGTTATAACACTGGAGTTTGATGACGGTGAAATATTTCAGTGGAGCAAGGTGTGCACTACTGAACTGAATATTTACTGGATGTGCCGTGCCTCCATTTCTATATATGTGCTATGAGTTATTTGAACTTCATTCTTTGCAGGTAACTACTAATATTTATAATCTTATCCTTGGTAAAGTGTATTGTGATCACCATGGATTGATGCACATTCGCGGGAATCGCCAATATTCATGCAAACTTATATTCAAAGAGCAATCTATTCTTGAGCGGAACAGTCGCCAGGTTAATTGTCGATCTGAATCTTTCTTTAGTTTCTTTTTAGTAGCTCGATTTAGTTCCTTTCTACCAATATGGAAAAGGATACTATCCTATGCTAGTGCTTTGTCCTGGCTTTATTAATCTATTTTGTGTCTTTAAATAGTCATTATCTCTAATAATTGTTTATCATGCCGTACATTTACTTAGGTCCACGGTTTTGTTGAAGACCTTTCGGGTAATAAGGTTGCTACATTATTTGGCAAATGGGATGCCAGCATGTATTATATCAATGGTCACGAGAGTGGCAAGACAAAGGACTTCAGTCCTTCAAATGCCTCCTTGCTATGGAAAAAGAATGAGCCACCTCCTACTCCAACTCGCTACAACTTAACATCATTTGCAATCACAATAAATGAGCTAATGCCTGAACTGCAGGTAGAGATGATGTATTGAATCACTTTCTCATAAGCAATTTCTTTTCCCTTTTATGCTTATCTAATTGTTTCCTATAGTTTTTTCTGATCCCGGGTATTTGATCACGGATTAAGGAGAAGCTCCCACCTACGGATTCTAGGCTTAGACCAGACCAACGTCATTTGGAGAATGGGGAATTTGATAAAGCAAATACAGAGAAACAACGGTTGGAAAAGAGGCAAAGAATGGTATGGTTGCACCTTCTCAATTTTCTTGTATAGGATCAATAGCTATGTTGTAACTTAGAAATCAATTCTATCAACTTACGTTAGAACTTAGAACTTTTAACGACATATTTAGAAACTATCTTGTTGTAAGAAGCAACCCTTATGGTAATGACAAATGATTCCTCTAACCAGTGACATGAATTATATTTCTATGGTAGATTTGTCTGGGTAGAATCTGATTTAGAGTTGCTTTCACTGCTGATCTTCACTCTGCATTCCTGTTTTGCACAGTCGAGAAAAATGCAAGATGATGGCTGGAAACCTAGATGGTTCCTGAAAGATGGTAATGGACCCTTCTACTATGTGGGTGGTTATTGGGAAGCAAGAGAACTGGGGAACTGGGATGGATGTCCAAATATATTCAGTGAAGAACCTGTCGATTCCTCTGAATGATATCGACTTCAATTTTGGGCAAGATCATTGGTGGAAATGGCTTCTTGTCATGCCGCTTTGAACATACTCGCGTCCGAATCCATGTAACATAGACTAACATATATATCTTCTAGCTGCCTTTTTTCGATTCATTCATTTGTTTTGTCTTTTAGACCCGACTATGCATACATTTGCTGATCATGTAGAATGCACAGACATTAAGAGGGATAATCATGGAGCAAATCCAGACACGAGTTCCTTCGATTCCCTGTTTACCACTCTATCTGTTTGCAAACACCGCAAAGCGATATTCAGTTGCGAGTCGCAACCAAATAAGGTCAGTGCCTTCTGTAACACTCTCTTTTGTTCAATTTTTTCATGTAATATTAAATCGTCATACTTCATTTATTCTAAGCTCCTTCAATTGAGTAAGCCAATGGGTTGGACATTTCATTTGATAATGATTTGTGTAAATATAAACTGACCTATTATGTTAGCTTAGGCGTTATATTTGCTCTGGATTTTCTGGGCAACATTGCCTTTTTTCAGAAGTTTGAAAGTGGAAAATGCATCACTGTCATCTATTTGTCCTTCATGTTCTAAAGGAAGTTTTGATACTAGGGAAATTTCATGCTTGCCATATCTATTTGTCCTTCATGTTCTAAAGGAAGTTTTGAGAATGAAATTTCTAAATGTTCAATCATTGATCTAAAGTGGTTGAATTGAAGAATTCAAACATTTTGATGTTACTTTTTCATGAAAGAAGTGATGCTCGAGATATCAATTTGTAATTTCAGATTGGAAATTACCATTTAGGCATAATATTAAGCTTCTATCAATTATTCATTGTTTTCCAATTTCACTTTAACGTTTAAAATTAACATATATATTGTAAAAATGATTATTCTTTTCTAAAATCATTTCTCAGCTCTTGTTCTTAATTTTGTTCTATCATATATATTTTTAAAATTATCATATATATCTTTAGCCTTTGTTTTGAAGTTTGGTCTAACTACTCTTTAGTCCCCCAACTTTCATGCCAAGATTAAAAATACACTTTTCATTGCATAATGAGCCCAAGCCAAGCCCAAATCCAATTCTAAATGGACTAAGCTCTCTTGCAAGGTACTTAGGCTTGCTCAAACGATCTCGAGTTAACCCAAAACTTCTAACCCGAGATTTGGGGAGTTACAACTCTCTCCTTCTAAAAGGAAATTCCGCCATTGAAAATTTACTTGAGTAGAATAAGTGCGGATACTGAAGTTGCATGCTTTCTTCGGTTTCCCAAGTTGCTTCTTCGACTCCGTGATTCTTCTAAAGAACCTTTACTAATGGAACCCGCTTATTCTTTAACTCCTTTACCTCTCGTTCTAAAAATCTTATCGGGTCTTCCTCGTAAGTCATATCTTAGTTCACCTCAATATGCTCTAAAGGTAAAATGTGAGAAGGGTCGAATCGATACCTCCTAAGCATGGATACATGTAATACATTGTGGATGCACTCCAGCTCTAGGGGTAGAGCCAACGGATAGGTCACTAGTCCAACTCTTTCGAGTACCTCATAAGGTACTATAAAAAGTGGAGTCAACTTTCCCTTGCGTCCAAAAAAGATTACTTTTTTCCATGGGGATACCTTGAGGAACACTTTGTCTCCTACGGCAAACTCAGTGTCCTTACGTTTTAAGTCCGCATACGATCTTTGTCTATTAGAAGCTTCTTTCAAATGACCTTGAATCAACCAAACTTTCTCTTCGGTTTCCCTAATCAAATTCGGCTCAACTATCTTCTCTTCGCTAAGATTGGTCCAACAAAATAGTCCTACATTTGGGCCCTTACAAAGCCTCGTATGAAGCCATCTGGATACTAGACTGATGGCTATTGTTGTAGGCGAACTCAACTAGTGGCAAGAGGTCTTCCCAACTACCCTCAAGATCCATGATGGTACACCTAAGCATATCCTCTGGAATCTGAATAACGTGCTCCGACTGTCCATCTGTTTGAGGGTGGAATGCAGTACTAAAGTGGAGCTTGGTACCTAGAGCTTTGTGAAGAGCTTTCCAAAATCTGGAAGTAAAACGAGAATCTTTGTCGAAAATGATTGATGACGCCACCCCGTGCAACCTTACAATCTCATGGACATACAATTGTGCTAGGCTTTCGAGGGTGTAATCCATCCAAACCGGTAGGAAGTAAGCAAACTTGGTCAACCGATCAACTATGGCCCACATTGTATCATGTCTCTGCCTATTCATTTGTAATCCTGTCACTCGATCCCACTTTCACTGGGTATCTGAATCGACTGGAGCAAACCTGAAGGAACCTGGTGTTCCGCCTTGACCTACTGACACACCAAGCACTTAGCCACGAATTCAGATACTTCTCTTTTCATGCTTGACCACCAATATAAGGATCGAAGTTCTTGGTACATATTGTTACTGGTAAATAAAATCAAAAAATTTTAAATTAAACTTATTAAAAATAATAAAATTCAAAATTAAATATTAATAATTACAGAAAAACACTTACCATTTTATAGATTCCCTAAGCCATGAATAGTAAATTCTTGAATTATCGCAGTCCAAAACTTGTCGTCAACTTCAATTTTAAATAATTATTTGTGCCAAAGACTTTTTCTTTCTATTATGATTTTGGGGATTAGAAAGTAAACGAGAGCACTCGAGTTTTTTCAACTGAGATTAGAGTTTTCAAAACTTTCATAGGATCGTGCTTTGATTTTTTACCATAAATATTTTTAGGTTTAAAAGTTAATTATTATTCTATGAACATAATTGCTATTTTATTTTCTATATTAATTATAATTTATGCCATGTTATATAGGTATGTAATACACGTCATGCTTACATGGAATTTAACGGGTTTTTAACATTCTTGTTAACAAAAATACGTATTTGATATATATATCGATAGGTTGAGGATGGAATTGAAATGTTTAGGAGTTTAAGGACTAATTTAGAATGAGACTCATAGTTTAGGGATGATTGGTGCAATTAACTCTATATTTTTTTATGGGAACTTGAGGTAATGAGTTTGAATAAAAAAATACTATTTGAGAAAACTCGTCATGTGAGCATGACGAATTTTTCCTATATATTGTCAACACGAGACCGACTGGTGCGAATGAGAATTATCACAGAAGGGAATTGCGTGCTGTGCAAAGATAAATTGGAATCAAGGAACCATCTGTTCTTTGACTGCGACACTGCTTCATTTTTATGGAAAAATATTCTGCTACTCATCAACATTAATAAACACTGCTCAACATGGGAGGAATTGTTAGTTTGGGCTTATAGTTATTGGAAAGGAAAATCTCTCTTATCTATAATCCTAAAGCTTGCCTGGTGTGCTTCCATTTATCTATTGTGGGAGGAGCGTAACAGACGAATATTTAGAGGATGCTACCGAGCCAACGACGATCTCCTAACTTGCATCAAAGATTTCGTAGGAATCAAGCTTAGGGGGAAAAGCATTAATAGGACTGATAGAGTTAACTCTAACTTTTGTATTTCATGGGGTATAATTTAGAACCGATCTGATGTTTTTGTATGTAGTTTGTATATAATGTTTTGTGATCGGTTATTTTTGTAGTATTCTATGTTTCTTTGGGTAATAAAATTGATAAATTATGCAAAAAAAAAATTCCCTATATTGTAGCATTTGTTGCAGATCTGAAATTAATTTTGTGGATAACATAATGGGCTAATATTTTGTCAGCCCCGTCTATTGGACCAATTTTGCCCTGTTTCGTAGCAATAGGCCAAGCCCATGAGTAGTCTTTGCATGGGCCGACGTGGGATAAGAGTGTATGTTAAAGTACCGATTGAATTTTGTTTGTTTAAAATATGTTTAAGCCCTTTCATTCTTTATACGTTTAAAACTTGGTCCCTCTACTTTTATTTTCAGAAATTTAATTAGATTAATTGTTCAAGTACACATATTTACCGATAATTAGATTAATTTCTCAAAATGATTAGATTATAATAAACTAAAATAACAAGTTATGAGTTTTTATAAAAGTAGAAGGATGAAATTCATTATTAATTTTGTTGTGTATTGAAATAGTTACATACAATATTTGTATGTATAACAACATGCAAAAACTTAGCCATGCAATTGAAAAGCACTAAAGACAAGTTGGACAGTGGATTAGCCCATTCTCGTTGCATTTCCCACACCGCTCCCACTGCTCCCCGCTCGCCGCCGCCACTTTACAGCTCCCGCCGCAAACGACGCACGGCACGAACCTAGCTCCGCCGCAGCCGCCGCAAGCCAACCGCCCCACTCCTCTCTCGACTCGTCCCATGCTCAGTATCTTCCCGAGTTTCCCCGTCTCGTTCAGCTCGCTCACCGCCTCGGCTTCGCCTAGGTAACGGCCTTTAACGAACACCCTCGGCACGGTCGCTTCATCGCCTAATAACTCGCGCAACTCGGTCAAGAATTCACCGTGCAACGACACGTCCCGCTCGTCGAACACGACGCGTTGGACCTCGAGTATCCCCCGCACCTTGTTGCAGTCCTCGAACGTGCGCCGTACGCCCCTCAACGACGTCGTGTAAATCACCACCGTGTCGTTCCCTCCCGGCGGGCATATCTCCGGGAACTCGCTTAACGGGTCTCGTCTGGTCATTATCTTATCGTAATTTGCCATCCTCCCTTCTTTCTCCCTCTCTTCCCTGTCTTTTACTATGAATATGTTGTCCTTCAACTTGGACGCTACTGGTTGAGCCGGAACTCGCGGCTCCGGATTTTTTAACTCCGCCGGTGTAGTTTTTACCTCTTTTGGCATTGACTCAGTTTTCCTCAACTCGTTCGCAGCTGGTTTTGATTCTTTTGATGACAGCTTCGCGTCTAACTCCTCTATGGTGTGAAAAGTCGTGCTCTTACGAGGCTGGTTCTTGGTGACTTGCTTCGCCGGTTTGGGCGGCGATGTGGGAGCTTGGGGCTTCTTGTTATCGTCGTTTATGGCCGGCTTGAGGTCTTCTAGGGCTTTGCTAACCTCATCCCAAGAGTGAGGAGCCGCTTCCAAGGCGTCGAGCTTCTCGAGAATTACGGCCGGAACATGCGTCGGCTTCTCTTGATTCTCCTGCTGGAGTTGCCCCGCCTTCACCCACGGTTCATCTATGGCGTTTACGTCGAACACCGCGAAGCTCGATGGCGGCAGACGGTAGTAATCCACGGTGGCGGTGCTGCTTTTGGAGGCTGAGCAACCCATTCTTTTCAAACTTGTGATATTTTTGGTGAGAGTGGAGATTTGCATGTAGTTTTATGGAGGGAAATGGTGTGGGAATTTGTGTGGTGATGGATGTTATTCAAGGTATTTTATCTTTTAAAAATGGGTAAACTACAAATTTCATAACTAAACGTTATTCTTTTTTATTTTATTAAGTGAACTTTTAAAAATTTTCAATTTTCTCATTAAACTTAGGTTTTTTTATTACTCTGTCTTTAAATAGTTAAGAGTGTTAAAACGATACTATTTTAGAAAAAAAACAAAATTTAACCAAAAAACGACTTCATTAAACATTTATAAAACGCTGTTATTGAGGAAACAATTGAGTGGTAAAAAAAATTAATGTATTAAGTTCAGTAAAAAAATGTAAAAAATAAAATACAGCGAGTGAAATAGGAGAAAAAAAATAAAGTTTAGTATTTAAATTTGTAATTTACCCTTTAAAAATTGATGGATTATTGATCTAGCCTTGAGATGATCGAGCGGTCATGGTTTAGCGACGTGGACCTATCAATGTGAAAACGTCAATTCGAGATTTGTCTTCGACAATTGCCTTTGCCGATTGTTTTATGGGACGTGTGGTGGATTTCTGTTCTGTTCCTCAAACGTGAGGTTTACGATTTTGGGGATTGAATTTTGTTTTTCTCTATATTATTAATATTATATACGGTTAAGCTTCTTCGTGACATATAAATTAATCTGAACCAGAGAAAGAATAAATGTATCTATATAAATTAGTTTTTGTGATCAAAATATAAACATTTTAAAAACTTATCGACCTAATTTATCAGTTTAATTATGAATAGATATTTAAATTATTTATTAACTTTAAATATCTCTTTTTTTTTAAATATACATTAGAAAAAATATCGACCTAATTTACTATGACATAATCCGTTAGAAAATAATTATACATTAAATATATGATGCATAACATCTTCATCTTCTTTTTATTATCTCTGAAATTTTAAAAATGATTATGAAAATTAATTTATTTTTAAGAAATAAAAATAATCCAAATTGAAAATACATCTATTCTTACACAAATCAAACAACCTCAGTGATTAATGAATTTATTGTTATCCATCGAGATCCCGTAATCAAGCACATATCTAAAGATATAAACGTTCATTATCAAATTACTTCAAATTTATTAAAAAACACATCTACTTTTAATAATGATTCGAATTATAATTTCTCCATTTATTATAAGTGAAATTAAAATCCTAACTCTTTGATTTTACCTTAATGACACGGTAAATAAAAATACATAATTTAAAAATCCATCAATAAAAAAATAACAATTTATTTCAATGAAGTACTTAAAAATATTATAAATGAATCATTAAACACATACTTAAAAAACTACACTGAATTATTTCAACCTTTATAAAAACAAATGAGCCTAATTTATCCAAAATTAGTGGTGTTTTCAAATGAAAAATAGTGGGCATTTTATCAGAACAAATGAATCCCGGGGCCTGAGACTTAGATGATGAGTGTAGACACCCGTTTTTGTCCGGATATTTTCTATTTAATTTTAATCTTATTAATATTATTATTATTAATGTTATTATTATTATTATTATTTTGTTTATTTTTGTTTATTTATTATTATTATTATTAATTACATATTACAACATTTTGCAGGCCAATCCCGAGGCCCAAACCAGAAGCCCACTGGAACCCAAATCACTGGCCCAATCAAGCATATAACTCTAACCCTAAAACAAATTAGGGGTTTTAACCCTAAAACAAATTAGGGTTTTAAACCCTAAACCAATCTCCAACCGCCGCTGTCGTTTGGACTTCCATCCGCCGCCGTGTGACTCTTCAGATTCCAGCCGAGTTTCACCCCGACAGCTTCTGACGCCGCCGTCGTCCTTCCTTGCACCAAAACAGTAATAACATACATCCAACAGTGACAAGAATCAACATCAAGTCAGAGAATGATTATCCTAGAAATATAAGATATTATTATCCTATTTTTGAGGCCTCACATCCATCGACAAATCAACATGCAAAGCAAGATAAAAGGAAGAGGATAGAAGGAGAAAGGGGGGCATTCAGTGAGAAACCATTCGGGGAAAATGAAAAACAGAGAAAAAAAATAAAATACCCATTCGAATCCCAAACAAAAAAATAGAAACTAAAAAAAAGGGGAAAATAGAGGCATTCGGGTTTTGGGGGGGGAAACCAGAAAAAAGGAAAAACAATAGAAAGAGGGAGAGAGAACTTACCATTCATCATCGTTTGTGGTCGTGACTCTCATCGGGAGAGAGGAGGAGCTTCATTGAAGGTAAAAATGACCATTATTTTTATATCAATTTAGGGATTAAAGGGGTTTGGGTTCTATTTTTGAGTTAGGGTTACTGTTAGGGTGGATATTGGTTGGAAAGAGGTATTGATTGGGGTCCCTGGTCGTTAGTTTTGTATCCTGTAGCCACCGTTTCACGGTGGCCAGGGCTTTGGCTCTGTTTTCCTTGGTGGCGGGGAAGAAGAGAAAGGGAGAGTTGAGCGTCTGAGATAGAGGAAAAATAGAGATGAGAGAAATGTGAGAGGCTTCAGTCGAAGATCACATAATATGGGGCATTTAAACAACCTAAAACGACGTCGTTTATGTAACATCCCGAAATCCGAGTCAGTGACTTATTATAAATATAGTTGAAGGTTGTTTGGTAATTATTGAATGAATTAAAGGGCAAATAGGTCATTTGATAAGAAAGATATTTTCCCCTTTTATAAGAATGAAACACATGGGGGAAAAGAAAGAGTTATCTGGGAAACTCTCTTCTTCTTCTTCTTCCTCCCGTATCTCCAAGCTCAAAGGTAAGTTTGTGATTTCATGATTATTTGTTGATTTAAAGGTTGGGTTATGATCACTAGATGATAATTAAGCTTAAGGAAAGTTTAATTTGTTCTTAAACAACAAGATGAAAGATATATGAGAGATTAAAGATTTTGAGTTCTTGAATGAAATCTTGGAATAGAGTTCATTACTCATATTGGAAGACAAATTTGACTTGTCATCCACTTAATTAAGGGATATGAAGTAATGGAATTGAATTTAGAACAAGTAGAAAATTTAGTATAATTCTTGGATTTCATATGGAAGATAGAATTTTGAGTTTAAAGAAGTGATTATGGAGTAGAATTGAGTTTAAGTATGTATATGAAAGTTAGGAATATTAAAGGAGGTGAAAGATGAAGAATTAAGCTGAAAGATAGTGAATTCGTGCTTAAAATGTAAATTCTGGGTTGTGTGCATCGATGCATCTTCAATGTGCATCGATGCACTCTCAAATAAATGAACATCGAATGCAATCAGTGCATCGATGCATACGGAGTGCATCGATGCACCTGCTTAAAATACAAACATCGAATAGGATTTATGCACCGATGCATGAATAGTGCATCGACGCATGCATTCATTAAAAGATAAAAAATAACTTTCTTATTAGCCTAAGGAATGATAGTTTAGAATATATCAATTAGTATACTGATATGTATCAATGTATTAATATGTAGATTTAGAACATGATCTCGTTCCGAAACAATTGAAGGATTAGAATCGAGTCAAGCAAGGCTAAGGTGAGTACATATTAGAAGTATGGTACAAGGGAATAAGACTTGTGATAAGTCTAATTCCTATGTTGATTTTCATAGCACAATAGTTATGAACATGCATACATGATAATTATTATGATAAACGCATAAAGTATATATGTTCATATAATTTGATAAATGATATATGTAAAAAGAACCAAATGCACATGTGATATGATAAGTGATATGAGCTATGTGATCACAAGAGAAATGACATGAACACATGAAACATAAGAATAATGTCCATGGTATACGATATGAGAGCTATAGGTATAGTTGGCATGCCAAGAGTCGAGGGTTCTACGTGGTCATTCGGGACGTATATGTATCATTTGGAACATTTACAGTGTCTTTTGAGACAGATCTGATCCACTGGAATTTGTATATGGTTCTTAAGGAGTGGTCCTTCGGGATAAATACAGTCATAGGTCATTCGGGACAAATTTCATAGCCCCTAGTGGGACCCATACGAGTTATGGTGATAGCATAGTGCACAACCTCAATGTACTCGAATACCTTGAGTTCTCAAAAATATACATGGGCCTATAAAAGGTTATCAAAGGTAATTACATTGTTATAGTTATATGTTATCATATTATTATTGTTTACATTGAATTGTATACGATAGGATTGAATGGATAGATTGCATGTTCATATTCATACTGAATGCATTATTGTTATATTTATATGTCTCACTAAGTCTATGACTTAGCGTGTAAGTGATTTACACGTAGGTACCAAGAATCAGGAAGAGTGGAAATAGGGTTGTAAGAATAACAGCACTGCTAGAAGATTAGATCAGAAGTAACGGATAAAGTATGTGTTTTGTCGTGTATATGGTTGGCATGTAAGAAAAGTGTTTGTTACAAATGCTCTGATCAGTTTTGTCTTGTTTTGGTTAACTTGTGTAAAGTAACAATGTTATTTTAATGAAAGTTTTAAATTTCCTTGATTTTTCGTCAATAGTCAAAGTTTTGTCTATTTCAGCAAGATTATGTAGAGCGTGGTGATTTCCTAACTCATTGCTTGCGGTTAAGGAATGATTTCCTAGAGGCTGAGGTACGTCGAAATGGTAACATGTTTTCACAACGAAAGGAACCTTGCTGGAAGAAGCTTGAACTAGGCTGGGTGAAAGCAAATACAGACGGTGCAGTGGGAGGTTCGTTGGAAATGGCTGCAGCAGGAGGGGTGTGTTGGAAATAAAACACTCACACAAACAACTTTGATTGAAACTCAAACAAATATTGCAAGAGCACTTTCACTCAAAACCAAGAACTACAACTCACTCTTATAAGAGTTTGCTTCTTCACTCACTTAGAAGCTCTTAATTTTTCTTGATGTTTAAAACTAAAATGGGAGGGGTATTTATACTACTCAAGAACAATCCTACACCACACAATTAAACTAATTTAAACCATTACAAATTCAACAAATACCTAACTCTCACCTAACTAAATTGAT